GACCGAGGGTAAGCCCAGGAAGTGGCGGGGGTGGGCCCGGGGTTCAGGGGGGAGGACTTGGTAATGGGGTGACTGGCCAGCTTTCTGTGTCTATCCACCAGGGGAATCTAGAGCCCAGAGGACATAGCCACCCCACCTGGGAGGGTGGTGTGGGAGAAGGCCAGGAGAGCTAAGGCTGGAGGAAGGGGAGATGAGCAGGGAAAGAGCAGGACCACGGGATTTATGCAAGGATGGTGTAAGGTGGTCCCAGAGAAGGCGAGAGTCACCAGGTGGGTGGAGAAGTAGGAGGAAGGAGAGAGAAGGGCAGGCCATGTGCACGCAGAGCACTGATGCCCAGAGCAGCCAGCCCCTGGCTGTCCCCTGCCCTGTCCAGCCAGGCAGCTGAGCCCAGAGCTGGCTGCCTCATCCATCCTTTCTGCTCCTGCCTCCTTGCTCCAGGAGGCCCGCCCTTCACGTGGCTCTGGACCCTATGGCTGGCTGAGGAGCCCTCTGTAGCTGGTGTGCAGGTAGCAGGTCCCACATCCCTTGGCAAGCCTGCCTCCAAGTCCAAGGTAGAACCTGTGAACCCCTCCCCAACACCCTCCATTTCATCCCTCCCCAAACTGGGTACTCTTTAGGAGACATTCATTTATTAACTTAACAGCTGTTTATTGGGAGTGTACTCAGCCTCTGCTGGCATTGCAGGAACAGTCGAGAACAAGTGGTGCAGCCTTCGTCTGCAGGGAGCTTGTAGTCTGGGGTGGGGTGCAGGTTAAGGAAGGGGGCGTGTGTCATCTGAGGGCGTGGGGGCTGTGATGGGAAAGCACAGGGCGCTGTGGTGGCACCTTGGAGGGGCACCTAGAAACCCCTTGTTACAAAATCTAAAGAGTCTTCCTGGAAGAGGCGGCCTCCAGGCCGAGACGGAAGAGTGAGTCAGAATTGTGTAGGGGATGTGGGAAGAGTGTGGGTGGTGGAGGGAACGGCGTGGGTGAGGCCCTGATGTGAGAGAGGGAACCTGCCTGCGGAGCTGAAAGTGACCCGGTGTGGCAGAGGGTGGAGCTGGAAGCAGGGAGGAGAAGTAGGGGACAGAGAGCGGGGTGGGTATGAGACCTGGTGGGCTGTAGGGAGCCCTGAAAGGCTTTAAGGGAGATGGTCAGACCTATGCTTCCGAAAAATGTTCACGTGGTTTCTGTGCAGAGACTAGAGTGGGGGACTGTTGAGAAGCCACTGCAGAGACACAGGCTAGGGATAATGGCGGTGGAACCAGGACAGTGGCGGGAAAGGAGGAGATGCTCTGAGAGCTGTTCAGAAGGTAGAAGCAACAGGTCTTGGTGACTGGCGAAGTGGAAGGGTGAGGAGAGAGAGGAGTCATGGAGGGCACCCTGTCTCCTGCCTTGCGCCACTGAATGGATGCTCGCTCGGGCCGTTCAGAAAAACAGGGAAGGCTCTGACGGGGAGGGTGGGTGCTGGCGAGTTCATCTGGGGCATGTGCCTCTTGTTGGCCATGCCCTGAAGACCTGCAGGCGTGGAGCTCAGGGGAAGCAGTGGGCTGGAGAGAGAGGTTCAGGAGTGGACGTCAGCCTGCAGGTGATCACCGGAGCCAAGGGAGTAGGTGCCGTCACACGGAGAGGAGGGCAGTGATGGGGCCCCCGGGACCACGGACATTTAGGGATGGGAGAGGGAAGGGAAGCCTGTAAGGGCGACAGAGAAGGCCCTGGGAGAGAGGAGGGAGGACCAGCAGAAGAGCAAGGGAGCGGCCGATTCTCAGAAGGCAGGGCTGTCAGCAGCACCAAGTGCTGTGGGTCAAGCAGAAGGACTGACATGTGGCTGCTGGGGCAGGAGCCTGGTGAGGGAGTGCATGGCAGCTGGGGGATGGGATGGTGAGTGTGGACACCTCTCTCCAGAATTTTGGTGTAACAGTGGGAGAGGATTGGGTAGTTTATATTCTAAGGTAGGACAGGAGTGATGGAGACGTTGAGGTGAAGAGAGAGGGGTTCTCTGTGGAATGGTGCCCTTGGGAGAGGTGAGGGGTGGGCCCAGGGCATGGGGTAGGGATGGTGGATTACCCTCAGAGCTGAGGAGGAACACTCCCTCCAGGGTGCTGGAAGGGAAGGAGGAAAGAGACCCACTGAGCATGTGGAGTCTGGGTAGAGAGGGACTCCTGCCCTGTCGCTGAGATGGCTCAAGTGCACGCTGAATATAGGAATGAGCAGTGCATGTCATTATTAGTGTGACTACCACTCACACGGGGACAGGGACGCACACACGCTCTCCAGGAACAGAGCTGAACGTCCAGGAGAAAGCGTCAAGAGCCGGAGTCCCGGCAGGCAGAGGAGTCGCTGCAAAGACCAGCCAGAGGCCCCTCCACGCGGGAACCCGATGGAACCCGCCCCGACCCCAGTGTGCGACCGCAGGGAGGCTGGGCGGGCACGAGACACACCCCCGGGGTGCGGGCGCCTGCAGGGAGGCGAGGAGGCCGGACCCCGACCGCGCCGAGGCAGGGGCAGGGGCGGCTCCTCGGGCATCCCGGGCGCCCGCCACAGGGGGCTGGACGCCAGCGGCCACCTCGAGGCGCCGGGCGTATAACTTCGGATAATGTATGCTATACGAAGTTATTACGTATTCCTAATGAGCATGCAGGTGATTTGGCTGTGACATGTGGCCTCACCCGTATATCCCCTTTTAATATCCAAGGCTTAATTCTGGCTCTTTTGGCAAGTGTCAGTTTTCACCCTCCTAAAGCAAATGGTCTCCTTGCCATATAGAGGACTGCCTTTCCCAGTCAAGGAATTACATTCCCAGATGCAGAACAGAAAATGACTTGGGAATGGCATGGACTCTCCTGTAAACTTAAAACTGGCAGCTTTTGGAAAGCCTCAACTCTCTTCTCTGGAAGGGCCTAAGATGGGAATGAGCAGAGTTAAGTCATATTCCCCAATACTCCAAACTAGTAACACACCTCCATATTTGTGTACCCGTATCCCTCCTCTGCAATCAGATTTTACTATTTTAGTCTATGTTTAGCTCTCTACCACTCTTTTTATTACTATTGTCAGTACTGGAATAGTAGTCTCATTACATCCATATTATTATTTTGCCCAAATCTATGAACTTCTCTCTTCTTCCTCACTGGCATCTATAATTCAGCAATCTCCTCTGTCCTTCCCCAAAATTCACTACAAGGATGCGTAAGAGGAATGTGCATCCTGAATGTTCCTGGAGAATTTCCTCTGCCTTGCTTCCTCCGGGGGGGTTTATTCCACAGGCTTCTCAGCGAATGCCACCAATGGTTAGTTTACTCAACAGTTCATGTCACCAGAATGTGTGGGATCTTAGATCCTGGGCTTTTTTATAACAGTTCTGTGACGGGCCCATTGTATAGATGAGGAACCTGAGGATCAGAGAGGTTAAGTAACATACACAGGGTCACATAGTTAAGCATTTGGAACGTGGGGGAGCCAGGATTCAATCTGAGGCCTGTTGGATTCTTTCCATAACACCGTGTTGTTTTGAATAATTCTGTATTTAAAAATCCTTCTACATTTGGCAGAGAAACTCACTTTCTGCTGGTCATCTCTTCACCTATTGGGGGTCAATTGCGTATATGACACAGGTCCACAGTGACTCTCGGAGAGTGCCACAGCATCGGTAGAAGGGTAAGGTTGAAGCAAAATGGACAAGCTCCATTCAAACGGCTTAAAGACGACCTTTAGGGATCTGTAGATTAATTTTGTAGTTACATTGAAATCGGAATTCTTCTGCAATGCTTCATGAAGGATCCAAAATGTAAGCTCATGTCGCTGGTTCTCCCTCAGCTATTAGTATTAAAGTCTAGGAAAGCAGATGAAGTATGAGCCTTCTTAGTTATGGAAAATTTCAGGCATATACAAAAGTAGACGGAATAATATTGAACCCAATCCATTGTCCGTCTTCAGAAATGATCAACTCATGATCAATCTTGTTTTCACTGTATCTCTACCTGCTTTACTTCATTCTGTTATTTTGAAGCAAACCCCAGATATAATATTTTATCTGTTACTATTTTAGTATGTATTGTTGGGCCACGTTTCAATCCTGAGGCGCCTGACTGTGCATAGTTCCTGCTTCCTGGTGGTGGCCATTTTAAGCTTAAGTTCACTGTCGCCATTCCATTAGCGCTGGTATGCACGTACCCGATTGCTCCCAGTTCCGGGACCCGGTGACTAGGCAACTTTTTCCCGCCCTGCCACTCAACTCGGGGCCGCCTCTAATTGGACAACTGCTTCTTCCCACCCCCTCACGCCATCTTCACCCCATCCTCGCCCCCCAATTTCCCTATATAAGCCCCAGTGCCTTTTCAATAAACGGAGTTCCGGCTTTGACCACTCTCCTGGCAGAGAGAGTTTAGCCTATTCATTTTTTCGTAGTCCCATTTTCAGATATCCTCTTCCCGCTCGGTTTTGTCGGCCTCTGGCTCAGGGAGGCCCGACAATTGGATTCCACAAAACTGGTGAGAAGAGTCTGCAGAGCTTTCAGTTAAAAGGTGTCCCTTTTTCTGTATATGGAAACCTTGCAGTAAAAGATTGTTGTATTAATCCCCATTCTCCGTTGCTTCACTTGACCGAATCTTCTAAGCTGGAAAAAGGTTCTTTGCCTGGAACTGACTGGACAGTTTTTCAGATTAATCACTCAGCCTACCAACCAGTAAAGACCCCAGAAAATCTTTCTCCTCCCATCTCTAAAGGTGCTTTTTATGCCACTATCATACATGACCTGGGGCTTCACGATGGAATTCAGCAAGTTCTTTTTGGCAACAACTTGAACTTTTGGCTGCACAAGCTCATCTTCATAGATGCCATCTCCTTCTTGTCAGGGAAGAGGCTGACATTGTCCTTGGACAGGTACATCCTTGTGGACATTGATGATATATTTGTGGGAAAGGAAGGAACAAGAATGAACACCAATGATGTTAAGGCCCTGCTTGATACTCAGAATCTTTTGTGTGCACAAATCACGAGTTTTCCATTCAACTTGGGATTTTCAGGGAAATTTTACCATACAGGAACTGAAAAGGAAGATGAAGGAGATGACTGTCTGCTGGGGTCTGTCGATGAGTTCTGGTGGTTTCCTCACATGTGGAGCCATATGCAGCCCCACCTGTTCCACAATGAGTCGTCTTTGGTGGAGCAGATGATTCTCAACAAAAAATCTGCCTTAGAGCACGGCATTCCTACTGACATGGGCTACGCGGTGGCCCCTCACCATTCGGGCGTCTATCCTGTACATGTCCAGCTTTATGAGGCCTGGAAGAAGGTTTGGAATATTAAAATCAGCAGCACTGAAGAGTATCCACATCTGAAACCAGCCAGATACCGGAGGGGCTTCATCCACAAAAACATCATGGTTCTTCCAAGACAAACCTGTGGGCTTTTTACTCACACAGTTTTCTACAAAGAATATCCAGGAGGCCCTAAAGAGCTGGACAAGAGTATCCAAGGAGGTGAACTTTTTCTCATTGTGGTCCTCAACCCAATCGGCATTTTCATGACCCATTTGTCCAACTATGGGAATGACCGACTGGGATTATACACATTTGTTAATCTTGCCAATTTCGTGCAGAGCTGGACCAACCTGCGACTTCAGACTCTGCCTCCAGTGCAACTGGCTCACAAGTATTTTGAGCTCTTTCCTGATCAAAAAGACCCTCTCTGGCAGGATCCCTGTGATGACAAACACCACAGAGACATTTGGTCTAAAGGAAAAACTTGTGATCGGTTACCAAAATTTTTGGTAATAGGACCCCAGAAAACCGGTGAGAATTTTTTATGTTATGATTAACCAAATAGTGTAAAACTCCTGATGACTAGACAATGAGTTCTTGTCACACAATGAGTCCTTAAACTTCCTATGAATGCTGATTCTTAATCTTAGTTTAGCTCAGTAATGTACTTAAATGCTTGTCAAAGTATTTTTTAAAGGGATAAGGATGAAATAGATGTCACACTGTTTGAATATCCAGCAGTTAATTTGGTGGCACATAATTTTTTCCCCAAAAATCTTACTGAAAAGTGTTGTTAACATTTCTAAAATCAAAACTAATCAAGTATTTAGAAAGTAACTGACAGGACTTTGTGAAAAGTCAAAGAGGGACACATATAAGTACCTATAGCTCTTTATAATAATTCCCTGCCAGAACAATAGTCTCTATGGCTGCCAACTTCCTGATATAAGCTATTTCTTGCAGAGGTGACTACTTTTTTAAAGTCCAAAAGATGTTTGACAAGCAGAATTCCTAGACATAAACAAAACTTTGTGCTAAGGAAGGTATTTATTCATACCCAGGAGAAATCATTTGCACCTTTTCTTAAATTGGTGTGCAATTTTTCCCCATAAACTTCTTATTCCTATAAGAAGCAATATTAAGATGAAGCCCAGTGAAAGCTTTAAAATGTCTGACATTCATGCTGTATCCTGCATGATAAATTTTGGGGGGCCTGGGGATTCTGGTTTTATAGTAAACAGCCATTTCAACCACATAGCTTGCTAAGGGTAATACATTCCCTCTCCTCATCTCTCTAGAAATAACTGAGAATTCAATACAATTTACAGAGAGAGTTTAGCCTATTCATTTTTTCGTAGTCCCATTTTCAGATATCTGAAAACAATAAATATGAGAAATACTTTTCTTGTCCTTATATATTTCACTTGTCCTTATCTATCTAAAGTCAAAAGGCTACTAGAAAACATTTAAACTAAAGTCTGTTCAGTGACCCCCTACTGTCATCACATAACCTGGTCATTTCTGATCACATCTCTCTGAAGCTTGGCATATCAAGTTTGCTTCAGAAAGCCCTACAGGGGCCGAGCCCGTGGTGCACTCAGGAGAGTGCGGCGCTGGGAGCGCAGTGGCGCTCCCACCACGGGTTCGGGTCCTATATAGGGATGGCCGGTGCACTCACAGCGCTCACTGGCTGAGCGTGGTGCAGCAGGTCACAAAAAGGACAAAAAAAAAAAGAAAGAAAGCCCTGCAGGATGTGCTTCCTCTTGTGCTGGATATACAGACATTTTAATATCATGGTTAGATAGCAGAATTATTACTTATATTAAATTCAGCTGGGCTAAATGTTTATGTTACAGTTTGGATATAACATTTATCTTTGGAAAAGAATTTTTATAGAAATTAATTCCCCTTTATAGAGATTGATTTTTCCCAGTTTTACTGAGGTATAATTTAAATGCAATAAAATTTACCTATTTTAAATGTACCATTTGAAGAATTTTGCAAATTGTACACAGTCATGTAACCATCACCACATTCAAGACACAGAACAGTTACGTCACCCTAAAAATGTTTCTCACATCTTTGCAGTCATTCCCCACGAGCCTGCCCCATCCCCAGCCACAGGCAACCACTTTCTACCACTGTAATTTTGTCTTTTCTAAAATCTCATGAAAATGAAAGCATATGGTATGTAGTGTTTTGCATTTTGCTTCTTTCATTTACTATAATACTTTTTAGAGTCATCCACGTTTATCAATATATCATGAAACTGATTTTAATTAGACAAAAATGTCTTCTCACACCAGTTCCATGAGAATTAAATAGCTGCACTTTAATTGTAGTTTTGTCAAAAGTATTTTTCTGGATAATTATGCATAGATTTCTAGTTATCTGGATATTCAAATACTTTTCACTGTCAAAACTGACAAAAATATAAAAACGGAAATTTTGTGGATGGTTATTTAAATGTGTCTGTGATTATGAGCTGAGTTCTCACTGACAATATATACACAGAATAGTTTATTCAGATTGAAGAATATGTATAGGTAAAGATAGAATTCAGAAACCAAAACTAAACAATTTTTTCACTGCTAATAAATTACATCATGCCTTTTACTGACTATACAGAGTAATTAGATTATATCCATCTTTTCTGTTTGTCTAATTAATGCTGGTCATGAAAAGCTATCAAAAGCAAACTTCATGATTTAATACAATTCTTAAAAATAAAATTCAGGGGCTGGCCCGTGGCTCACTCGGTAGAGTGCGGTGCTGATAACACCAAGGCCCCGGGTTCGGATCCCACATAGGGATGGCCGGTTCGCTCACTGGCTGAGCGTGGTGCTGACAACACGAAGTCAAGGGTTAAGATCCCCTTACCAGTCATCTTTTTATAAAAAATAAAATAAAATAAAATAATATTCAGAAAAGAATGAAAAAAAAATACTCTTATGAATGAAACCCCAAGGAGCTAGCTCGCCCCTTCCATCACGAGAGGACACAGCTAGAAGATGCCATCTTTGAACTGGGAAGCAGGCCCTCAGCAGACACCAAATCTGCAGGTGCCTTGTTCTAGGACTTCTCAGCCTCCAGAACTGTGAGAAATAAATTTCTGTTGTCTATAAGCCACCCAGTCTATGGTCTTTTGTTATAGCTGCCTGAACGGATGAAGACACCAACTCTCCAGCTCATCTAGATTCATCTAACCCCCTACTTCTTTTCCCTACTCCCCACTCCTCCCTATATTATTTTGAAGCAAATCCCAGATGTTATAAATTTTAATCTGTAAATATAGCAGAATATATCTCTAAAAGGTAAGGACTCTTCTTTTTAAAAACCATAACAGCAATACCATCACGACATCTTTAGAAGTTAACAATAATTCCCAATACCATAAAACAAACTCAGTGTTTAGTTTGAGTCAGGATCTGTATAAGGTCCCATACATTGAATTGATTGATATGACCTTTAATTCTCTTTTGATCTTTAGTTCTTTCTCATCAGACAGTTTTTAAACATTATACTTTTCAACTTTTATGATTACTGTGCTTGGAGGTTCAGTCCCAAGAGCTTACGGTAACATACATGATACTAACAGTAGCTGCCTTCTGAGGCATTTTTATGAGCCAGGCAAGGGGTAAGTGCTTTGTGTATATTATCTCATTTAATCCTCATAACAACCCAGTAAGTTAGGCATTATCAGCCCCTTTTTAGAAACAGGTGAGAGAGAGATGAACTAATTGGCCTGGGGATAGATAGTTAATAAGAAACAGCTGAAATTGAAAACCACATTATTCTGACTCCAAAGTCCATGTTCTTAACCTCTAGGCCATACTGCCTGAATAAACTCATCAAGAGAAATTAATGCCATGTTGAGTGAGTGGTATATCACTCTTGGTAATTTTTAAGGGTGTTTGACCTTTATAAATTAACCTAAGAAGTTTAACAAAGAAAATTGGATGTTATCATAAAATGGCCATAAAATGGCCTTCTGTGTACGTGGAACTGGGTGGGAGCTGGGCAAAATCAGCAGATAAAGGATATTGATCTCTGCCTTCCAAATGCTCACACTCCAGAGGTTGGGTGGAGGCAGACAGACAGATCCACAGCAGACCCAGTAAAAGGTGCACTGGGGGGGTCCTACAGTAGAGCTACAGACAAAAAGTGATGGAGGCAGAAAGGTGACTCTAATTCGAGTGGTTAGGAAACAACTTTTGGAGAATGTGGGAGCTGCAAGGCCCTTGAATGACATTAGGAGACAAAGTTTAGGTGGATGGGGACTAAAGATGATGATATTGAAGTATGATACCACATTGTAATGAAGTTCACTTGGGGCTTCTCTTTCACCCGTTGATTGTGTGGAAATGCGCAAAGCAGTCACTGCAGCTTTCTCCAGGATGTCATGACTTGGGACGTAGGCAGATGGGAACTAAGCCCTGACTCTGCCTTCACTGCCTGTCCATGCAGGATCCAAGTTGGGAAGGTGATACGAAGGGCATATTGTCTATCCGTATTAACTGCCATTATCTCTTTGCTGATCAACTTTAAAAAGCCCAGGATTGTCTTTGGATCACGAGTGGCTGTGGTCCCCATGCTCCCTGCTGCCGTTTATCTCACCAGCCTGCCTTCTGATGGAACGCATCTTTCATCCTTGTTTAGGTCAGGCAGCTTGCCAGCTCTACTTGGCAGGAAGCCTTGGTTCCCAAGATAACCAGTTTTGTGCCTCTCTGACTACAACCCGATGACAACCCTGGATTTTCTTGGTGAGCAGTGAGAGCTATCACCACAGGAAGCTGTCAAACCCTGGGCTTGACCAGGAAGATGCCTCTGAAATTTCTTGAAGGTCTGCTACATTAAGAAACGAAGCTCTCCTTCTGGAAGGACTACTTCATTTTACATCTTTATTGGAGAAATCTGCTTCTCTGGCTTTAGGAGGCTAAGCAGAAAGGATATGCTGAGCAGCAAAGTTTGCATTTCTATTTTGTCACCTGCCACTGGCAGAAGCTTAGCCTCAGGCTGCCTGACCTTGTTCCCCAAGCCTAGTGTCCCCCTTCACACCTCCTCACACACCCAGCAGTTGTCCTGTTCTCAGGAAAGTCAAATTGGTTTTAACACCAGTCCAAGCAAAACCTAACTAGAGAAGTAAATCCACTACCCACTCCTCCCCTCCAAACCATAAGCTGCTATGAATTCAAAAGCCAAAAGCAAAATATTTTAATTACCCACGCTAGCAGTTCTTGTCATTAAGGAAGTAAGCTGAGTTAATGTAGCCTACAGACCTTTGCTTTGAAGATATAAGGATTTAAAAAATATATTCTTATATCCTTAGATCAAGCTAAATGTCAATCAAATGAATGGATTTAAGAAATGTGGTATATATACAAAATGGAATACTATTCAGCTATAAAAAAAGAATGAAATCCTGTCATTCATGGCAACATGGATGGAACTGGAGACAATTATGTTAAGTGAAATACGCCAGGTGCAAAGACAAACACCACATGATCTCACTCATATGTGGAATCTAAAAACAGTGGTTCTCATAGAAGTAGGGAGT